ACAGGAATTTGTCAAGCACAGAACTTTTATTTTACATATTATTTCCAAAGAGGACATTGTTTAAGTGAGCAGCCAACAGAATTTAAAAGAGAGAAAGTGACAGCAAAGGTAACTGGCTCAAGTCCCTCTGTGTACAGCATGTACATTTCATATCTGAGCACCTTGTGTGTCTGGCTTGAGTGAAGGTAAGGCAGTGTCGATTGTGCGAACAAGAAATCCGTGTTCTGTGATCAGGAATGGCTACTACATGCATCACACGAAATGCACAACCTGAAATGTTTCGATCTGCAACCAAAGTTTCCTCAAGCAAGGATGTGCGTGAACAATGACCAACACATACAGAGCAACTTGGGCAGAGAGAATGAATAATGCCGTGGGGCGGTGAGGTCAGCACACTGATCAAGAGCCCCAAACAAGAGGAGCCGTCCCAGTGGCAGAGCAGGCTAGGAGGGTGAGCCGCAGCCATCTCCAGCCACCTCGAGTTCCTTCCTGCCTTCACTCTAAGTTGAGCAGCTCCACGTCAAAGATGAGGGTGGCATTGGGAGGGATGACACCGGGATGGCCCGTGGCTCCATATGCCACATCAGGGGTGCAGGTCAGCTTCGCCCTCTGCCCCAAGCTCATCTAGCAGGGATGGGGGCAGATGGGGAGAGGAGAAAGAGGACCCAGCTTGATTTAAAAGAAAAAAGTTAGATGACTATGGCATTTTCCCAAATCATCCTCAGGGTAACTCTGAAGATCTGCGATGAATTTTATATGTGGTACATTGAAACTATGCCAAGAACTGTAACAAATGCAGACTCCGCCTCAGAACAGCAGAGACTTGGCTATGGGACAATAACCTCCACAAATTCATTCATCTGACAGACATTACTGGTTATTCATTTTGTGTGTGGCCCAAACACTTCCAATTGTTCATAATCGTTCATTACCCTGTTCCAAAGAAGCCTAAAGAGGGTATATAAATAGCATATGTACACACTCAAGTAAGTGATAGGAGCAGTTCATTAAAGAGGTTCAGAGATTAGAGGCCACAGCAGGGTGGCGAGGGCCAGGAGACCTATTGCAGCGGAGTGTCACATGACTTCACAGACAGGCCAAGGAAGGTGAGCTTGAACCAGGGCTCATCACAACAGTCGTCAAGAACCCACTTGGCATTAATTGGTAAAATTTAAATAAATTAATTTTTGAATTTTGAATAATCAATTAAAATTTGTATAGGTAGATTAACAGTATTGTAGCCACGTGAGTATCCTGGTTTTGATAACCATACTACGGTTATGTAAGACATTAACATTTGGGGAAGCTGGGC